CGTGCTATAGAGTAGGCGGAGATCGATGAGGACACATACTATACGGGGGCTTATCTCCTTCAAATTATTTCCAAGTGCCTTGAAATAGAGTTGATGAGTTAAGGTTTATTGCTATATTTTACTGCATGTAATATCGGGACGATAAAATATTATTATTTTAAAATTATATTTATATTTTATTTTATTTTAGGAGTTTGCAAACACAGTAATCTTATGTCTGACCAGAAACTTCTAAAATAAAATATATATTCAATAAAAATATTATGTAAAAATTTAAATTACTTTTTTGATTTTTTTCTATAAAAATAACTATATTTGAATCATTGATATTAACGTCAATTGTATTTGTAGTTTATAATTGCACACAATGAGTAAAATATGTGATAAACGGCATCMCCTGCCAAAATATTGAATATACCTTCTACCCTCAACCCACGGCGATTATTCGAATTTGTTTGCTGATTTAAATTTATATTACTAAAATAAAACTAGAATATTCGGGTCCAAGAATGTATAGGAATTCTTCGCAGCATCCGYATAATAATGTATTATTTATCATGTATAATTCTCCAAACGAAAAGTCTTTAAGCACTATAAACATAGGAACTTGTCAGTCATCGTGTCCTCGACGCAAAAGTTTTTCCCTATATATAATGCATAATATACGCAACCMTTTTAATTAAATGAGAAAGCTGTTTTCAGAGAAAGATATAGTTTAGCACAAAAACGAGTACAATTGCCACGGCGGCGTCGTCGTAGTCTTACGACATTGTACGTAATATGCATGTTTTTGTGTTTACAGCAATGAACAGCAATAATAAGAGGTTAAGAAGAGGAAAAGTTTCGAGAAGACTTCTGTCTATACATAATGCTGTACAACACTCACACACACACGCGTGCACGCACACAAGCTGCACTAGCTGCGCACTGGAAGCACTAAACGTTTGGAATTCGACGCGCCTCCGGGAAATCCGGCGAACAAAACGAGTTGATCAAGATGAATGGTCGGACCCATCTCGAAGCGACGCAAAAAATATTCATTATGCATTGTGCGCCACCACGTATATATATTGAAGAGAAAGCCATTTTATTAATAACGATCGAAACCGACGCGAGGATGTATAATGTATATTATTTATTATGTGTAGGTATAATGTAGCGTTCTACACCTATCTATAATACCCATACGCAGCACAAATATAATATAATATACTAACTATATAATATTATTATTATATGTTATAAATATTATGGTCAGCAGCAAACCCATGTACATGCATTAAAAATTGACGACCGCTATTATTATTGTTGTGCCGGCTAACGCCATGCGTATATACAACATGATTCAAGTCGTRTTATTTACGTTTCGACCCACATTGATATTTAATAAACATTATTATATTATACACGCCGGACGAGGCAAAACGAAAAATGACAATTGACGAGTGAAATTCTTCGTAGCTAGTTTTTAAGTATACCTACCTACCTATATCATACCTATTGCGAAGCGGTAAATTTTAAAACTATATATATATACGGTCGTGTGTACTACGCAATACCACACATATAAAACAGTTTGAACGCGTTAAAACCGTTTGTTACATTTGTTAGCAGTTCGTATGCGACAGCATCAGATTTAGGTGTAGTCAACGGGCATCATGCTGCTGGCGTGTATATATACCGACTGTAAAGATACCCACCGACCAGTTTCTCGATCGATAGCGTACAAATATAATATAATAATATATAATAGCGCGGTGGAATTACGATGATATGATTCAAACTCCCGGGGCGTGGATTTTTTTCTCGCCAAAGTGGTTCACTCTCTAAACCGTCGGGTGCACATGTACGATAATAATATATTACGTATTTATATATATATATATAAATCGCCTCGACCCGACAGCCGTCTGCAGCRCTATATACTATCTGCGGCAAGCACCTGCCCGGTGCCGTGACGTGTATGAAAATATTGTAGAGCTCTGCTGCTGCAACAAGCGCTGAAATATCGCAATGATATCGGCCGTGTAGTCCACGGTGTGGGGTGATGAAAATAAAATAAATTTACGCTCAATATACCTTTTTTTTTGCAGCGATGCGGAAGAGAGATTAAACCATTTAATATATTATTACTGTTTCAGAGACACCGCGCGAGAAACGCTGCGGGATCGAGTAAAAAGAAAATTCATTTCTCGATCCCTTCTTCGGACGAGTTGTTTAACAAGCTATTGAACTCGTATTTTGAGCGCCGCGGGGACGAACGAATGACAATCGTAATAGATATAATTGGTAACTGAATTCCCGGGGACGCGACCGTATTGTAACGTAAGATGCACCGGTCGCGCCGGGGGAATGATAATTCAAACGTAATTGTCACCCGAAGGGCAAAAGTTTCGTCGCTGGACGAGTAGAGGGGTCGGAAAAAAGGGTCGAATTCGACACACGTCCGCCRTGCGCCGTCTGAAACTTTCATTCTACGACGCCGCAGTTATTGCGCGATTTACGGAGTTACATGGATTAAAAAACCCACGAAAAACAAATTATATATATATTATACGTTATTATTTTTTAGTGCTGCGACATAGGTCGGTAGTACTAACCACCCTGCGACAGGGGAGGGGCACGAAAAGAAAAGAAAACCTTTTATAGTTTTTTTTTTTTTGCTGCTGTGCAGTGCAGTGAGAGGTGCACCTTCACGCCGACCTTTAACGAACATCCGCTTGTCAATTACGATCAGTTAACAACTCGAACGCGCGGAATACGCGTATAACAAATGAACGACTGGCGGAGCAAAAGGGTTCGGACGTGAAAAGCGAACGGCGGATAAATCATTAATCATTTCGTCGTCGTCATCGTCGCTTTTCTCGGCACGGATGGTATAGCGACGTTWGAAACTCGGCGACGCGGGTTGCAATATTGCTCACGCAGAGCCAAAGTATATTATTGACAACGTGAGATACCACCGTGGTACCAAAGCTACTCATCGTATCACGAGTCGCAAAGACTGTAAACATCGCTATTCAGCACAATCTTATGTWTTATATAATGATTTGTCATAACACCCCGTCCAATGATGAAATCCACTTGTTCGACATAAATTATTTAAACTTTATTATATTTATAGAAGCGAGAATTCGGTTAGATTTAGTAAACAGCTATACCAAATAAGTGTTTGATATGAATGTATAAATTATAATATTATTATTGTTATTACATTAAAAATATRTACAAACGAAATTGGCTCTACGGATAAAGTAAATACATGTCGATTACTTTTGGCTTGAACAAAATAAACATCGCTGTTGATTCGAGCTCAAAAGACAATATTATTATTATTATTACTACAGTTCGTCCCACTCATTCAAATGATACAATTAATTCGAATTCAGTTACGGAGATGCTGCGCACGGACAACACTGATACATATAATATTATGTATAATACATTAATACGCCTTTATAGTATATAACGAATATATTGTACTATAATACTTGTGAATTATGAATTACGTAATTTAATGATACGTAAATTGTTACTAAATAAACTTTATATTGATTTTGAAACGTATGTACACTTATACAATGTAATTTATTATTACATGGCATATGSCATACATCGCTTCAAAAATTAATTATAATAACAATTTATTGTTAAAGGGGCCGCGTATTGCGTCTTTTTGTCTTGGCAGTAATGTAGATTGACCTCTGCGACAGAAATAACTGTAAGCTATAAAGACGACTAGGGAATATTTTGGCATGGACAAAAAGAATATGAATAATTTCATAGTGTACTTTCATTGATATTTTTCTAATTATATTACACGTTAGTTTATTACCCCGCATCAATGTATACATATTGTACCTACGTATAAAAAATTACCTAGTAGTTCAATCTTGGAGTAGTTCTATCTCATATTCTATATATAACATATTAATATGAAGACAATGAATAATGACYGTTAGACTTAAAATGTATCATATTGTACAGAAGTTTTATGTTTTTTTTTCATTTATATATTTTTTAGTGTGGATGTACATTTAATATATGGAGTATACTGATATACATTTTATATTGTTATTTCATGTTCTGACATATCATTATATTTATAACACTATTGTATCGTCTGTACGATAATTTAAAATTAATTTAACACACGAACAGTCGTTTTAAAGTATAAAATATAATCGGTTAACGCGTTAAAACTTAAAAATATATTATCCGACGACTGCAGCGGCAGACGACACACGCGCACGTTTAAGTCGTATCGTAATTATTTCGTGGATAACGGAATCTGTCAACACGGGATTATGAATGAACGAAAGGGGTGTAGTAGTAGTAGTCGTAGTAGTAATATACCACCATCATCAGTATGACATATTATATATTATATAATACGTTATATACCTATACCTACTAGTATAGTCAGCGTATAAATACGAAACGAGTTGTTATTTACTTTTTTTTACAACTTTGGTTAGAATAAGCCACTGCAGTGTAGAGAAGAACAAGGGGAAAAGGGCGTTGTTTTGGATATATATATAAAAAAACAAAACCGTTTTTTATCTCAATTTGTTTTTCYCCCGGCCATTAGAGGTACTCGCGCGTATACGAAAATAAAACACTGCTTCCGCCGTTTAAATCCGAAATCCATGCCAACTGTTGTGMGTTCGGGGTCGAATTCCACTATATCGTTGTCCTTAACTGGTTTATATAGTGGTGAATATTAATGTGCGAGCGTATACACACCCGCGCTAAGGAGACACGTGGTGAAAGGATTGGTGTGGCGTCGTCTATATTTACAGGTGACGGGCGGGGAAGGGTTGAGAAGGACGCACGTATGTATGAAACGAGGAGTAAAAAAAAAAAAAAAGCCAGCGATGGAATTAATAGATGTCCTCCGGTATAAGATTAATACAAGTCCCCCGGGGAAGTCTATATAGGGAGAGGAATATCTCCGCACTGCTGTTATAAAAACGGCAAACCAAAAATAAACGTCTTACCTGTTCGTTCATGTTATGTCGGACGGTATTGAACGACTCCGACAGTCATAGTCATATTGTACGCTACAATGAATGACGCGCGTGTATATGATGTTATGCGTCTACAACGCGATTCTCGATAGTGGGCAACGCCTGAAAAATACATTTTTAACAATGTTAACAAAATTCTAATAATGATATCGATAAAAATAAATCTAACACGACTGCGTGTGCCTTATGGACAACATTAAGGTTTTTAAATAAATTTATTTTTTAGGTTAACTTAAATAATATTCACACATTATGATCGTTGTTAAAACCCAACTATAATATGTATACCACAAGTCATATAAGTATAGGTGCTCATAATATAATAAACATTTAATAATATAATATACATATTATTATAATATTATTATATTATTATATTATTAGGTATCCGTATTTCGGTGAAGTGCCGTCTGTGAGCGGCTTATTATTTTTTAATACAATCACGTCAGCATAAACCCTTATAATATCACAATATTTATTGATAATTGATGTACTAGTTAGCGTATAGAATAATATATTGAATATTAAAAAATATATATAGGMATAGAATAATATCATATTAAGCAACTTTTAAACTTAATTATTATTACCTATTATTTACAATGACTAACATTCAATTTTATTTTTACCACAGAATATAAATAATTAGTATTCATGCTCTATTAGATTATTTTACTCTTAGTAATTCGTGGTAACTCGTAGTGCTCGTGCAGTTGAAGAACTTCTCTGCGGGATTAAAATAACATAATGAATGCCAACCAACATAACTTTTAAATTCCTATTATCGTATAGGATTGAGACAAGGTTTAAACTAAAAATTATTACTTCTTCAGAAACCGATTAATTTGAAGTGGCTCTACAATAATTTTTATATGTCCTCATAAATTGTGTAATTATAAAAAAATGCACGTTCCAATTAATGAAATTCAGTATTTAAACATTTTTATATTTTGCATTAAATTAACAATATTTTAACATAGCTATTGACTATAGAGATTGACTTAAATTGGAAAACATAACTACAAATAAGAGGGTATTTGAACAAATCAAGAAACTATTTAAAACAAATCATTGAAACTACTTAAACTAGGTAGGTATACGAGTACGATGCAATAATTTAATGTGTAAAGGCTTTTTTTTACATAGTATTTTTTAATTTAAAACTGAAAACTTATTCCAGATAAATCGATTTTCAAAATATTATTCTGATGCATTTTATTCGATAGGTATACAACCGGATAACTATACATTATTTAAGTCATTAAAAGAAACCTGTATTAAATAACATAATTTATAATTTATTAATCATAAATGTCTTTGAATCAAGTACGTTACAGGTTGTTGTAAGAGAAAAAACACGTAAGTCGATTAAACCACTGTACAATAATATATTATTATTATAATATTGGACACTGAATTCGAAACTAACAATTGCCTACGCATCAGTGCAATGGTGTAGAAATAGGGTGGCGTGGGTGGTTATAAACGCCAAACAACTAATAATTATATCACAATGTATTTTTATGGACGTCTTGTAATTAAAATAAAACGAAATGAATAATAACTGAAATAACTTCTGAAGTCAAATTACACTGCGCGTGGGAAGTGAGGATGCGCACGCATATTATGTGTGTTTGTCGTATTGAAAATGTGGTTTTGATAAATACGAGTATATTCAATAATAATTTATTTTATTTCATAATATAATATATAATATATCATCTTCAGTTAATAAATCGCTAAAAAGAATGCAATAATTAGGTACCTTATAAAACGCACACACACACATCCAACGTTTCTTCTAGGTAAAGTTATAGAGTGATATAGGCGTCCCTAAACAACTAATAATAATAAT